ACTCACTCACTCACTCACTCACACACTCACACTCTCAATCACTCACTCATTCACTCACACTCTCAATCACTCACTCACTCACTTTCTTACTCACACTCTCAATCAATCACTCTCACTCACATTCTTACTCACGCTCTCTCTGACTCACTCACTCACTCACTCACTCACTCACTCACTCACACACTCACTCACTCACTCACTCACACTCTCAATCACTCATTCACTCACACTCTCAATCACTCACTCACTCACTTTCTTACTCACACTCTCAATCAATCACTCTCACTCACATTCTTACTCACGCTCTCTCTGACTCACTCTCTGACTCACTCTCTGACTCACTCACACACTCACTCACTCACTCACACATTCTCTGACTCTCACTCACATACTCACTCACACACTCACTCACTCATTCATACACTCTCTCACATTCTCACTCTCACTCACTCACACACTCACTCACTTACTCTCTCTATGACTTCAGCACCGTACCAGCCATTAATTATACAGTCTACCCTCAGGTCACAGGTAATGGGATCACTGAGGCTTCATGAATACGGTGGAATAATAAAGTCAGGAAATGATGGAAACTGCACAACAAAATCATTGCCATCTGAGAGAGAGAGAGAGAGAGGGAGGGAGACAGGGAGGGAGAGGGGGGAGGGAGAGAGATACCTTGTAAGTGTACCTGAATTGGTACCACACTTGACACCGAGAGGTTGCAGGTTGTGTGTTTGAGACCCAACCCAGGACTTTGAACACATTTAGTCGGAATGCAGCGATGGGGGAGCAATAACAAATTGTCACTCAATCCCCGACAGTTTGTGGGACAGACGCTGCTGTGCGCAATTGGCCTCCGTGTTTCGTCCCCAAATAGACAGTCAATTCGCTTTACAGTATATTCTGTGAAGCGCTTTGGGACGTCTCGAAGACGTGAAAAGCACTGTATCAAACGCCAGGATTATTATTATATTATTATTATTAAATGAGGCAAACTGTTGGAGTAATGAAGCAAAAGGGGTTGGTTTTCATGTCAAGGTCACTCGATTGCTCTTTTCATGGTGTTCTTACATCCACTGTGTGTAACTGACAGAATAGACATTAAACAGAGGATCTATTACCATATCATTAAATTCGCAACGGAAAATGAAGAATAATGAAACTTTCTAATGTAATGATTGTAGCTTCGAGCTATTTTCGAATAACGATCTTTGACGTTCGATATATAAACCCGGCATTTGATACGGCGCCTTATCACATCTCTGAGATGTCTCAAAGCGCTTCACGGAATAGACCGTAAAGTGTAGTGACTGTGTATTTTGTGGGCGAAACGCGGCAGCCAATTGCGCACAGCAGTATTGAACTGGCATTGACACATTGACATCAAAATGCCACAACATTGTGCGTCCGAGAGAAATCTCACCTCGTTGAGATTACAGTGGAGTACTGTGGCTCAGTGGTGAGAGCCCTCACCTCGCAAGCGAGAGGACCCGGGTTCGATTCCCGGGCAGGTCAGGGCGAGACATTGGGTAAGTTTCCTCACTCCACACACACACCTCTGTTTACCAGCGGTCAGTAGGAATCCGGTTGTTAGTCGATTGGCGGATCACTTTTCCGGGGGCAATGATCCCTTCAAAAATAAAAATAATAAATTAGTAACCTCAACTGTTTGTGGGTAACTCACTGCCGCTTTTCACCCACAAAACACACACGGTCAATTCACTTTACAGTGTATCCTGTGAAGCGCTTTGAGACGTCTCGAAGACCTGATAAGGCGCTGCGTCAAATGCCGGGATTATTAGTATTATTATCTTTAATGTTCGTCTGGACAGACAGACGGGACTTTGGATTAAAGTCTCACGTACATGATCTTTGCATTCGATGTAGAGCCTCGTTACGTCGTCAAGGCATCTAAAGTGGACCTCGGTTTATCATCTCATTTGAAGAGCGAGCTCCCTCAGCACTGTAATGAGGTGGCATCAATGTCTCCTTCACAGGGTCACAAGAAACTCAAATTATTTTCTGCATCCGCAGTATTTTGCCGCCCTCTGCTGGAACAAAAGTCTTCTTTTCATCAACTCCCGATAAATCCAATGCAACTTGCATTTCCGTAGCAGCTTTCACGTTGGCAGGACGTCCCAAAACCCTGAAGTAATCAAATAATATTCTTCGTTTGTTACGTAATAATCCTTTCACCGGACACAGTAAAATGTCCTGCGTTTGATAGAGTTGGCTTGTCGCGCCGTCAAAAACGTCTCAAAGTGCTTCAGGGTTTGACTGTAAAATAGTGACAATAATAATAATAATTGTCGCATTTGATACAGCGCCTTATCACGTCTTTGTGACGTCTCAAAGCGCTCGAGAAACGCGGCAGCCAATTGCGCAGTGTATCCTGTCAAGCGCTTTGAGACGTCACAAAGACGTGATACGGTGCTATGTCGGACGCAAGGAGTATTAGTAGTTGTGGTCGGATTATTATGTTCCCCTTCCCTTGGATCAACCCCTAATTGCCCAATGCCCAACCCTGTCCCTGTGAAGTGGACCTGAGATGGTACCTTGGAGGAAAGGTGATGTTTGAGCCGAGTCGTGGTCGCGGCTGCCGTTTGTGTTATCAGAAACACAATGTTTGGTAAATACTCCCAGACGTTCATTATTCTCTGTCTATTGAGAAGATGGAGAACACCTGGTTTAATTGCAAACAGAAGGTAGGTATCAAAACCTCTGACTGACTCATTAGTGGAATCCAATCGCTTTCTAACTTTGATTAAAATGCCATCCTTGACGGTAAACTCTTCCAGGATTAATCGGATTTGCGTAACTCTCCATTCCACGTCAAGCATTCTAGGAGCAGCGCTCTTTTACACTCTGTAGATACACAGCAACGCTCACGAGATGATAATAATAATACTGGATATAGACAGCAGAGCGCAGCATAGAACCTCGAACCTCCCGGCAGCAATTCTCAAACGCACGTATAACAACGGGACAGTGTGAAACTCCTGATTTACAACGCGTCAATGTGGCAATCACGAAATGTTACGGAAGTAGTTTGCTGTTCCTTAAATCTCACTGGCGAAATAGACCCCCTTTTACCACCGGCGAGATGGAGTTGAGGTGCAGATCAGTCATCATATTGAATATCTTTTAATAGAATAGTCCTGTAGCTCAGGGGTTAGAGCGAGCGAGAGGACCCGGGTTTGATTCCCGGGCAGGTCAGGGCGTAACATTGGGCAAGTTTCCTCACTCCACACACACACACTCACGCGCGCCTCTGTTTAACTAGCAGTAACTAGGAACCCAGGTGTTGGCAGATCGCTTTCCCGGGGATAATGCCTCACACTCCTTGCCTTGTCATATCGCATCCCGTAAGATGTTCTGCTGTGGTCAAAGGCTGTGGAGGATTCCAAGAAAACCCGGACAAGTGGATCTGCAGAAACTCCAAAAATAAATAATAATAATCATAATAGTAATACTCACATCTAATGTAGCACCGTTCACGTCAGGTCGACAGCTCAAAGCCCTTCGCAGGATTGACTGTAAAGTAGAATGACTGCATTTTGAGGGTGAATGGCCGATTTGCGATTCTCCACACAAAACAGCTATGAAGTGAAAGACTTGAATCACCGGTCGCTCTGCTCTTGAGTCTACGTTTTTTATGTGGGTGCAAACCAACGGTCTGTAGGCGTCAGAGCCTGGGAATCGATTGAAAGTGATGGTACAGCATAAAGGTGTGGCATTCCCGGTGATGAATTATCTCTCGACTTACTTTGGCAAAAGAACAGGGCAGTCCAGTGTCCAGTGTCAGCGAAGATAGACTGTCATCATCGGTTAATATGCTCTATACTCATTTCTCTCCCACCCACCCCACTCTACGAAACAAACCCCTAAGAGAGCTTTAACCTGCAATAACAACAAACTAATAATTAATATAATATATTGGAGTCCAGCCTTAGCAAAACGTTGGTCTAATAGTAATCCTGGCATTTGACACAGCGCCTTATCACGTCTTCGAGACGTCTCAAAGCGCTTCACGGAATGTTCTGCAAATTGACTGTATATTTTGTGGGCAAAACGCCGATTGCACCCAGCGACGTCCCCACAAACAGCCGTGGATTGAGTCAGCAAATGACCGTCATTAATTTTATTTGTTTTGAAGGGGTTGTTACCCCCGGAAAAGCGATCCGCCGATCTACTAACAACCGGGTTCCTACCGACTGCCGGTGAACGGAGGCGCGTGTGTGTGTGTGTGTGTGTGGAGTGAGGAAACTTCCCCAATGTCTCGCCCTGACCTGCCCGGGAATCGAACCCGGGTCCTCTCGCTCGCGAGGCGAGGGCTCTGACCCCTGAGCTACTGGGACTCCAGACTGCCTAACGCTCACGAGGGAGGTGAGAGGGCTACCGACTGAGCCAGACTGGCACACCTACACCGCACAGCAAATATATCCTTCGGGGAACCGATCTACCGCAGTAGTGGGGAACCACTCTCGCTATTGTGACAGCGTCGGGAGTTGCTCCTCCAAAGAAACCGCCTACTTGGAAAGCTCACCTCAAGACATTTTCCCTCTTGCACTTTGACTGCTCTTTTGGTTCACCTTTCTGGGCTGATTGTCCTGCAGGGTTCGTCCACAAAATATACCCTCACGCCCCCTGTGTCAGCGTATCCTGTGAGACGTCTCGACAACCTGATCAGGTGCTGTATCAAATACCAGGTTTATTATATCGTCATCATCATCATCTCCTCTATCCATCCCGTTTCACCCACAAAATAAAGTCAATCCACTTTGCAGTATATTCTGTGAAGCATTTTGAGAGGTGTCAACGACATAAGGGGCAATACTACAGACATGGATTACTACCCCCTCTTATAGATCACGACCTCTCTCTTCGTCCGTGCTTACGGTCACCCCCCACCCCTCCCTCAACCCCCAGCTCGGTGTCGGGCTCCGCCACTGTGAAGCGCTCCGAGAGACGAGAGACTAGAAGCGATTGTTGTGCTTGGGAAACATTTTTATTCAACTCCTGCAAGTCGTGTGTGTGTGTGTGTGTGTGTGTGTGTGTGTAATAAAAATAATTCACAATCGAAAAATACAAAAGACATTTGTGTAAAGTTACAAGGATCTCAGAAAAAAAAAAACATCCATAATTTATTAAGACGACTAGCCCTTTAGTCCTTCAACAAACAAACGGGTTACAGCTAGGGTTTTTTTTTTTAAATTCTCATTGACGGGCAGGACAATCAATGCCTGACAAGACGACAATCTCCAAAAAAAGTAGTAAGCACGATAATCTTATTGTACATCTTAAAAACAGCTCGTTAAAAAATAACCGTCTCCTCTAAGAACCGGCCAAAGTAAATTCGTACAATATTCTACAGGGTTCGCCTCTTATTTATACTATGTACACACACGCGCGCGCATATTAATAAAAACATATGGCGGGAATGAAATAGAACGTACGTTTTGTTAAGTAAAGGAACGCACTTCCCCTCTCTCGCTCACTAACCCCATACGCGCTGCCCTCTCAGTTTCCCAGCCGTGAATCCCAAATTTTCCCAGATTCTGCCGTGTCTCAGCGAAGGATCTCAGGCCGAAACACTGCGTCACTGTCAGCGAGAAGCTTGAGCTGCTGGGCCTCTCTCTCTCTCTCTCTCTCTCTGTGACTGCTGAGCAACACGTCCCTCCGGTCTGTCCGTCCGTCACCTGACCTGTTATCCGCTAACACCTCCGACTGCACGCATTAAAAATCAGGTGAATTTATACGTGAGATCGTTAAGGAAGCAGAACTCGCTTTCCACACCATTTCGTAAATTCAGAAATAAGTGCCACCCCCGACAGGACTCAGGACATAAACATTTCCTGACGATGATCCACGCGCTCAATAATAACAACAATCCTGGCATTTGATACAGCGCCTCATCACGTCTTCGAGACGTCTCAAAGAGCTTCACAGGATACACCGTAACGTGAATTGACTGTGTGGTTTGTGGGTGAAACGCGGCAGCCGATCTCGCACAGCAGCGTCTCCGCAAACAGCCGTGGGATTCAGTGACCAAATTATTATTGTTTCCTTGANTTTTTTTTAAATAAGGGATTATCATCCCCCGGAAAAGTGATCCGCCAATCGACTAACAACCGGATTCCCACTGACTGCTGGTAAACAGAGACGTGTGTGTGGAGTAAGGAAACTTGCCCAGGGTTTCGCCCTGACCCGGGAATCAAACCCGGGTCTCCTCAGTTGCGAGGCGAGAGCTCAAACCCACCGAGCTACAGCTTAATAGTGGGAAGGTTTCTCAACCACATCTAAGACTATCTCTCCCCAATGTCCACCAACCTCCGCTTACCCTCCAAACCCTCCCCCAACCAACCCCAACCCCAAGCCCAAACGAAAGTCACAAAGCTGCGAAAGGATATGATTCGTAATCCAGTGTCTGTGTAAGCACTCCCGTCAACACAAACTCAGCATTGTGGACGTCTGAGAACGTGAAAGAGAGGAGAATTAAGTCAAAAGGCAAAACACTCCAGATGCCGGAAATCTGGTATAAACACAGAAGTGGCCGGGAACAGGCAGCAGGTCAGGCAGCACCCGCGGAGAGAGAGGAAAAAGGGGTTAAGGTTTCAGGTCGACGACCTTTCGAGGGAACTGACGAAATAAAGCCAACTTCACTCTACCCCAGGCGCCAGAATTTTACATTGACACGACGTCAGGAGCGCGTCCCTCAAGGGGTTGAAGGTGGGCGAGGGGGGCGTCCGAGGAAGGGGCGGGGGGGGGAAAAGGGGATCAGGGAAGCAAGGTGACTCTTTCGTTCACGATGGGGCCCGAATGGCCTCCTTCTGTACTGGGTGATTCTATGTTTCTAAAGATTCACCGCCCCCCCCTCCACCCCACAATCTGGAACTCTATCCCGCAATCCCTCCGGCTTACCCCCTCTCTCCCGCCTCCTTCAAGTCCTTAAATGTGGGAGATGGAAGGGTTTGAGACGAGACCACAATTCGAAACCAATCCTCACTCAAGACTGTGATTAAAACTCCACACGGGTCCCAGACAAGACACACACAGACACACAGACACACCCAGTCACACACACACACACACTTACCTATATTTCGGGCGAAGTAGTCTCGGCACAGGTGGAGATCATTTTCGCACGAGATCAGAATAATTTCGGGCAAACTCTAATATGGAAAGAGGAAAGGGCGGATGAATCAGGTGACAGGGAGGGGTTGGGGGAGGGGGTGGGGAGCACACGCAGATTTACTGACACACAACGGGGACACTGCCTTACGGGAGAACGTGCCAGCGTTTAATTCAATGATTACGTTTGCTCTGAGACGAGGGAATGTTTGTGGGGAACGCTGCTGTGCGCAATTGGCTGCCACTAAATATTTATAGTCAATTCACTTGACAGTATATTTTGTGAAGCACTTTGAGACGTGATAAGGTGCTACATCAAACACAAGGATTATTATTAATCTAAACACTCCAATAAGTGTTTAGCAACCCATCTAACTGGTTAAAGTGGCCAATTCTGGTGTGTAAATGTTTAGCTCCTTTCTCCCCCCACCACCCATAACATTTTCCAAATTAGTTTTCAACCTTGTTCGGACCAACCTTGTTCTGTTTATGCTCCATGAATTTGCGATATGACGGCTGCTTTGTCAGCACTTTGCCTGCTGCGCACTCGATAACGGATTTCATCGTTGAAAGACTAGGACAGATTCCAGGAGTGATGTAGAAATACTTCCCCTATAGAAAATGGGGGATGGTGGTGGGGGTGGAGGGGGAAAAGGAAAGGGTGAAAATGGTTAGAATCCTTAACAATAAACCCATCTCGGTATAGTTAAAAAGACATCCCGCAGGTGAGATGCGCTTTGAGATGTCTCGACAACGTGATAAGGCCTTAATTCGAATGCATTAACTCTATTATTAGAGTGATGCTCACGTAGGTCGTATCAGTTAGGATCACACATTGAATACTGACTGATTTAAGTACAATTTACTTGTAAGTAATAGGAATTTCAACGGGGCTTGGAAAACCGCCAATCGACTTAACAACCGGGTTCCTGCTGACTGCTGGTAACCAGAGGCAGGCGCAAGCGTGCGTGCGTCCATGCGTGTGTGTGGGCTAACTTGCCCAACGTTTCGCCCTGATCTGCCCGGGGATTAAACCAGGACTCTCGCTCTGAGCTCCAGCACTCTTCGGTTAAGCTTATGCACGTGTCAGACATCCAAACAGACCGTAAGTAAAAGTGCGAATGGAAATCTAGACCCGAGAGACCTGGCAGACCAGAATACCCATTCTGTCCAGCGCTCTATAATTCCTCAGTGCTCAAAGGCTCTCCATTGAACAGATGTGAAGTTTACCTTAAACAAGGGGCCCTCCTGTGCCCGTTTCAGAGACTCCTCCAAGCTGAAACAGAAGAGCACCTCTGCCTCTGCGTCTCTCAACGTGAAGTTTTCCTCCTCTTAAGGACAACAAAAAAAAAATCTTACGTCAGAAAGATACCACACCCGAATTTAGAAGTGTGCGTTCCTAAAACACCTTTAATCACCTCATCATTAAGTCAGGTCGGGAAACAAATGCAAGACTGCACCGAGAGAAAAAGCAAAACACAATTTCTGTGGAGGGCCTTGAAGGCGAGGACGAGGATGTTTGCACAGAAAGTAGATGGTCATGAGATACAGCAGTAAAACCTGCGAAGTGCTGTCATCTCATTGACACGATAAAGTGCTGTATGAATTGTAACGATTATTATTATGAATAATAACAGTAATAACAACATTCCAGGCTTTAGTTTAATAACAGAAATTCCTCGAAACACACGAATAATACAATAAAATAAAATTGCTCACAACAACAAATTGTGTTTACAGAGCATCTTATATGAGTATAATAAAAATCTTTGGATTTGATACAGCGCCTCATCACATCTTCAAGACGTCTCAAAGCGTTTCATAGAATATACAGTCAATTCACTTTATTATATGTAAGGATTATTATTATTGATATGATTATCATACTGTAAAGTGGATTGACCGTGTATTTCGTGGGCAATTTTTTGCGTGTGTGTTAGTACTGAAATGGCTTTAAACTTAATAATAATAATCCTCGCCTTATCACGTCTACGAGACGTCTCAAAGTGCTTCACAGGATACACTGTAAAGTGAATTGACTTGTGTGTGTTGTAAGCGAAATGCGGCAGCCGATTGTGCACAGCAGCGTCCCCACAGCTGATCGTTTTCCGTTGGCCAAAATCCCGACGATTTCATGGGGGAGGTAACAAGTTCACAGGAGTTACCGAAACAAAGCGAAAGCCCTTTCACGCTGACAAAACTCACCGATAAATTTTTGGATCTTGAAGCTCTCCTCCAGCCACTCGGGCAGCACGATGTGCTTGACCACGGAAATGGCCGTCAGGAACTTCACGGTCCGGGTCACCTTGTTGGCGACCAAGTGTGTGCACTTCTGGGCAGATTCGGCGACTTCGCCGCCGAGAATGTAAAGTTTCTGAGAAAAAAAATTGCGGGGGAACAGAGTGAGAGAGAGAGAGACCAGAGACCACCACAACGACAAGGTACAAATTCATTGAGCTGGGGGGGAGTGGGGGGGAAGCGTGGGCGGGAGGGGAGGTAGCGAGGAGGGGGAAAGGTGACAGAAAGCTTGATGGAAGAGGTATGTAGATAACAACACACTCACACGGCGCCTTGTAGGCCCGGAGGACGTCCCAAGGCGTTGGACCGTGAGGGATCCGCACCTGAACTGGGCGTTGGAGGGTGACTGAAGGCACAGTCGAAGAGGAGGTTCTTGAGATGGATCTTGAAGGAGGCGAGGGAGGGAGAGGGCGAGGCGGAGGGGAGGGGAGGGAGGGAGAGCATCGGAAGGCCTTCGGAGTTCCACAGAGCAGAGGAACAAATGCTGAAAGCTGACGGAGAGGATGGGCGGGGGGGCAAGGCAGCCGGGCCAGGGGGGTTTGAGGAGATGGACACGAAAATAGAACTTTTTTTTTTAAAAAAAAAAAAGTTGCCAATTTGCCGAGCAAGGGAGAAGAGAAGGTGGACTTAAGTTGGCGTCGTTGAGGAAGTAGGATATTTTAGGCAGGGTTTAGACTGATGAGGTGGGTGGGGTTGTGTGGTGGTGGTGGTGGGGGGCTGGGGTGGAGGGGAAAGGAGAGAGATGAAGGGTGGGAGTGAGTACCAGAGGTTAGAGGGTACAGTTGCTAAAGGGTCAGGCATCGACAGTCAGCGGGAGGGGGAATTGTGAAGCAGTTTCCACACGTGAAAGAAACATCACCTTTATATACTGCTGGACATGTGCTGGCTCGAACCCAGTGAACAGCACCACAGGAGTAGAGTCTGCTGGCAGCTTCTTTGATGGAGGGGGCAAGTCCTCGAGTCTGGTTGAGACCAAACACACTCACCGTCAGACAAGGCGACCGTTTCATAGCGACGCCCACAAACTCATTCCGCCACGCTACTCATTTTAATAATAATAATAAATTAATCCTTGCAATTGATATACAGCGCCTTATCACGTCTGCGAGACGTCTCCAAGCGCTTCACAGAATATAATGTAAAGTGAATCGACTGTATATATGTGTATATTTTGTGGGCGAAACGCGGCAGCCAATTGCGCACGGCACCGTCCTACGAACAGTCGTGGATTGAAGTGACCAAATTTATTAATAATATTTATTTTTGAAGGAATTATTACCCCCCGGAAAAGCGACCCGCAAATCGACTAACAACCGGGTTCCTACTTACTCCTGGGTAAACAGAGGTGTGTGTGTGTGGGTGTGTGGAGTAAGGAAACTTGCCTACTGTTTTATCCTGCCCGTATGGATACCGTATGGTATGGATACACTTGAACACAGTAATATTTCTCAATATATATCTGATACTCGGGTGACCCAACAAAAACAACACACCTTGCCCTCCAGGGCTTAAAAAGAAACATTGGTGAGTCACACTTAACAGCTCTCAAGCACATGTGCCTACCTCAGCCTTTTCACAGGTGGCTCAAGATTACATTCGTTTGGTTTCTGTTTAGACTGTAGACGAACACTCTGTAACACAAAGGGATAAAACTGCCTGAGACCGAATGCTTCAGGTGTGTGCATTTTTAAAAAAAAAAACGGGCATTTTAAACCAGCAACAATTTACATTCTTAGCAACTTTCACTCAAGTAATAGTAATTAATAATCCTGGGATTTGACACAGCGCCTTATCACGTCTTCGAGACGTCTCAAAGCGCTTCACAGGATACGCTGTTAAGTGAATTGACTGTATATTTTGTGGGCAAAATGCAGCAGCCAATTGCGCACAGCAGCGTCCCCCACAAACAGCCGTGGGTTGAGTGACCAAATTATTATTATTTATTTTTAAAAAAATTATTCTGAAGGGATTACTACCCTTGGAAAAGTGATCCGCTAATCGACTAACAGCCTACTTATTGCCAGTAAACAGAAGCGTGCGTGTGGAGTAAGGAAACTTGCCCAAGGTTTCGCCCTGCCCGAGACTAGAACCCAGGTCTTCTCGCTTGCGAGGCGAGTGCTCTAACCGCTGAGCTACATGACTCCACATTCAATAAAAGAAAACGACATTCCCTTCCTTTAATCCCATCAAGGTAAAGGGAAACGTTTGACAAAAACTGTGAAATGTCCCAGGTTATAAACCGCAGCGCAAGTGAAGACGACAGACGCTCACGTACCATCAAGAGCTCCGGCGAGATCTTCAGCGGCACACGCCAAGCGGCTGAAAAGGAATCAATCGAAAGTCAGGCAGGCAGCAGTCAGTCAGTCGAGGGCAATAATATCACGAGGGGAGATCAACAAACATTGCTACACTGGCCCGAAACTTAAAATTAGAGCTAAGCCGTTTAGGAATGAAATCAGGAGGCAGTTTTGTCACCCAAAGGGTAGTGGAAATCTGGAACTCTCTCCCCCAAAAGGCCGTGGATTATGGTGGACCCATTCACATCTTCCAAACTGAGGCAGGTCAGGGTATTAAGGGATACCGGGCAAGGGAGGGTAATTGGAGTTGAGGTACAGATCAGCCATGATCTTATAGAATGGCAGAACAGGCTCAAGGGGCTGAATGGCCTATCCCTGTTCCTATGTTTCTGTGATCGCAGGCTGGTAAACAGGAGAAACTACCTTGTCCTTTTGAACAATGTCAGGGGATCTTTAACGTTCGCCTGAGGAGGCAGACGGGGGTCTCGGTTGAACGTCTTGAACCCACAATCTTCTGACTCGAAGGAGGCTAAAGCACTACCAACCGAGCCTGGCCGACACGTTCATTAAACAAGCAGCTCCGGATTCCGTGATTCACATAACAAAATAACAACAACAATCCTCGCAATTGACGCAGCGCCTTATCACGTCTTCCAGACGTCTCAAAGCGCTTCACTGTAAAAGCGTGGTGACTGTGTGTTTTTTTTTGTCGGCGAAAACGCTTGGGGAAGCTCGTACCTAGAAGGTTTGCCACCAGCTGGGGGTTGGGAGCCAGGGGGTCCTGAAGGTTAAACATGCTGTAGCGGCTGTTCTGGATCTGCCGGAGGGCCTCAAAGTTGCCGAGAAGAATGTCACAGAGCCACTGGCCATTGAGGCATGGGATCCGCCACTCTTTGGCTTTCTCGTACTTCAGTCCACACGGTCTGTTCTCGAGACAAAGGAGAAGGGAAGCGTGAGGAGGTCACAGCAGAATCTACACAATCTGTCGGCTTCCCTCTCCCCTCGACACAAAACAAAACCTCCAGCCCACCCGGCCCCCCCAAAAAAAACCTCGAGCCTTTGGGAGAATTGAGAACTTACTCCTTGCAGATGAGGACGGTGTTGCTTCGGCAGAGGTAGCCCGTGTATTTTGCTCCGGCCAAAAAGCCCATCAGCTTCAGGTCGTCCCGATCGCTGTCCACAAAACCGGTGACAGAAATCATCTGCGAAGCAGCGAAAGAAAAGTAGAGAGACTCGGAATCTGTTTCACCCGGACAACTTGTGTTTATATGGCGCTGGGTGGCGTCTTGGGACACCGTTTAATAGTGATAATAATCCCTGTAGCTTATAAACCGTGTTGCACATGGGACACTGTCTCAAAAGGCTTCACAGAATATAATGATTTATAATAATAATCCTTGCATTTGATACGGTGCCTTATCACCTCTTCGAGACGTCGCAAAGCGCTTCACAAAATGTACTATGAAGTGAATTAACTGTATATTTTTGTGAGCGAAACGCAGCAGCCGACTGCGCACAGCAGCGTCCCCACAAACAGTCGTGGATCTGTGACCAATTTATAATTATCATTTTTTTTTGAAGGAATTATTACCCCCGGAAAAACGACCCGCCGATCGACTAACAACTGGATTCCTACTGACGGCTGGTAATCAGAGGCGTGTGTGTGGAGTAAGGAAACTTGGCCAACATTTCGCTCTGACCTGGAATCGATCCCAGGTCCTCTCGCTTGCGAGGCGAGCGCTCTTAACCACTGAGCTACAGGACTCCACATATCTTGATTTAACCGCCTCGTCTGAAGGATGGCATCAGTACACCACAGCATTGCATTGGAGTACCAGCCTAGACAGTGAGCTCAAAGTCCCAGCATGGGGTACAGTCTTCTGACTCAAATGCTATCAACCAAGCCAGGCTGACACCAAACCCTTCTGCAAAGAACGTGGATTGGCACGGCTCTCTTCACATAAAAGAATGTCTCAAAGCAGCAAAGGAGGTTTAAAACGAGCCTCTTTTACTTAATGTACAGGTATCGAAGTCCGATGGAGGTAAGAGCATTTCACTCACCCAATTTACAGTTGCACCACTTCACAGTATATCCTGTGAAACGCTTTGAGACACAAGGCTACATCAAGTGCAAGGATTAATAACATGCAACAACAACAATAAATTACATTTCCACAGCGCTTTTCATGCCAGGAGGAAGTCCCAAGGCACTGGACAGACCCCCACCGGGCAATCTTTAAGGTAAAGGGGATGGAATAATCTGTGAGCGCTTGGCTAAGTGCAAGACGACAACAGCATTCTGAATGAAGAAAGCCATTTGATCTCATCATTGCAGATTACTAACCCTCCCTTGTTTTTTTGAATCTTTTATTGGGATCTTTAACGCCCACCTGAACAGGTACATAGGAACCTGATCAAATGTACGAGATCAAATGGACTTTCTTCATCTCTCTGGATTTTGTGAAATTGGAAGCAATTTGTGAAATTGCATGAATTACAGTCCGTCTCTTTCAATTGACCCAATGACATGCACAAACCAGAGATCGTTAGCCAAATGAGCAGTGGCGTTCACCCGATTGAAAAGGTGAACAATGTTTGCAACTATAATTGGATCGTTTTAACAACCCGAACCGAAACCGAACAATGGGCTGCCATTACAAGGCCTCGGAAGATTATCTGAGCTCACAGCTGCCCGGCAAGTAATCAAAAGTAATCATGCGCCTATTTAAAGATCAATTTCCTGCTACAAGTCCAGTTTACGCAAAGCACTCTCAGGACAACCTTGGGAGTTCATTATAGTTCTCGTGCAGTCACTGTTACAGCCGCATTCTGTTCGGGACCAGGAGCTGACGTGTTATTCTGACCAAACTCCGAAACTAACGGGGAGTGGAACACCGATTTGGAAACCCGAAGAACATTGAAGGGAAATAAATAATAATAATAATTCGGTCACTTCAATCCCCGACTGTTTGTGGAGACGCTGCTGTGCGCGATTGGCTGCCGCGTTTCGCCCACAAAATACACAGTCAATTCACTTTACAGTGTATCCTGTGAAGCGCTTTGTGATTCTATGCCATTTCGGAGGTAGTAGGTCAAAATCCAAACGTTAATACCGGTTAACCCTTTGGAGACCTATTACAACAACAAGAACAACAAATGAGATATGTAAAAGCGCCTTTCACGTCAGGAGGGCGTCCTAAAGCTCTGGTTACTCACGTGCTGAGAGCAGGGTTTCCCACCAGGGGGGAAGGCGACCGGGAAGTGCAATCCTCTGTGTGGAGGAACCATCCTCTTCTTCTTCAGGACTGTGTTGAGCCAGTGGGCAGTGACACACCGTTTGCCTTCTCTCAAGGCCTGTCGACAAATAACGCCACAACTTTGGAAAACTCATAAAAGGTTAGAGCGAGGCGCACGGTAAACTCATACCTTGTCACTCAATCCACCTGACTGTTTGTGGGGACGCCGCTGTGCGCAATTGGCTGCCGCGTTTCGCCCACAAAATATCTAGTTAATTCACTTTACAGAATATCCCGTGAAGCGCTTTGAGACGTCTTGAAGATATGATAAGTCGCTGTACCAAATGCAAGGATTATTATTATCATTAAAACCCAGTGAAATGATTGTGCATTTTGTAGGTGAACACAGCTGACAATTTATGCATAGGAGCTCACAAATAACCGTGAAGTGAATAACCCCATTTTTAATCGGGGAGGGGAAGGGGGAATTATTGGCCAGGACACTGCGAGAAACCCACTTCTAATGAGCAGTGCCATGGGATCTTTCATAACCACCTGAACAGGCAGACAGAGGCCTTGGTCTAAAGTCTTTCTTGAAAACAGCACCCGGCACTGTACCATTCCCCCTGGCACCGTTACCTCAACGCACACTCTGGGGTCCCCCCATTCCCCACCGCAAGCCTTGGATCTTGTCAACGCGCGCCTGATACTCTCCGGAATTAGGTAAGCGTCGTTCCAGCTAGAGAGTAGCATTCCATTCCCGACATAGTAACATTTACAATGTGTAGGTGGCATAGATAATGTGAAACTCTCCATCTGACGTGGATAAGCATTGGCAATGGATTTCCACATGGATCAGACACCCGTTGACTAAAAAATACAGAGCTGGGAGCGGAGGGAGGGTGGAACAGAGGTGGAGAGAGGGAGAGAAAGAAGGAGGGAGGGAGAGAGGGAGGCAGAGAGAGGGGGAACTTGTTTTTCTGCTTACCTGTGAATACATATTGCTGACCTGACTTTCACACAAGAGGTGCGTGCATCGACTTGTCAGTGTGGGGTCCACTATTCCCCCATGCGCTTGGATAATCTGTGCAAAAGCAAAGAAAACAAAGGTACTTTGAGAGAAAATATTCACGGGTCCGTGTTGCAGCAGTTACATTAAAAGGTTCTTACAGTCAGTTGGAACTGCCACTCTGGGCCTATTTTCAAAGTCGGGGAAAAGAAGCATGAAATAAAAACATGGTCGCCCTCGACCGCACATGTCATTTCCATGCCGAGAGACAGAGGGAAAGTGTGAGGGAGGGGGAGAGTGGGAGAAAGAGAGAGAGTGTTAGGGAGAGGAGAGGGATCGTGAGAGACGGAGACGGAGAGAGACAGAGGGGAGAAGGAGAGAGAGAGAGGAACGAGAGCAAGGGAGGAGAAGAAGAGAGAGAACGAGAGGGAGAGAGAGGGAGGGAGAGAGTGAGACAGAGGGTGAAAGGGAGAGAGACAGAGACAAAAAAGAGAAAAGCGTTTCCGGCCAAATCCCCGGTGATCACTGAACACTCGGCCTTGCCTGCCTCGCCCCTCAGAGTCGCTCACCGTGAAACCAGCGTTAAAACGTCAAAGAGGCCAAAACGGTTTACAGCCCGAGTACCAGAAAAGAAAGGTTCTAAAATGGTCGAGGGACGAACAAAACCCAGATGGCTTATTCAGTATTAAGTATTTCTCACTCACCCGCTCACTGATTCATTTATTTTCAAAGGAACTATATTGTCGGAAGCAATTTTAGGGCCAATTAGAAGTGCGGTCACCTCCCCCCTTCCCTCTTCCCCTCGGCTCACTGTCAGATAATAATAATAATAAAATAATAAAGCGCACAGGTTAAAAAATGCCTTTAATATCGGTTTGGTCACAGTCGGGCGACCTGACGTCACCTGTCCTGCCGTGTAAGGGAGAGTTATTAACTTACCTTCTTCCAGGTGGCAAGGAGCTGCTTGTCGGGCATCTGCTCGGGGTAATCGGCTATTGCAAACACGCAGCCCAACAAGAAGGAATCCTCTGGGACTGAAAGAAAGTGACATAAAACGAGAGGGTGTTAAATAAAAAAAGGACCGGGTTAGGAAATTAAGAAATTAATTAATTAAGAAACCTTAGGCAAGTTTCCTGACTCCATGCACACACACACAGATCTCTGTATACTTAGCAGTAAATGGGAACCTGCTTGTCAGTCGGTTGGTGGATCACTTTCCGGGACTAATAATAATAATAATAATGTGGTCACTCGATCCACCAGCTTGTGGGGCATTACTGTGCGCAATTGGCTGCCGCGTTTCGCCCACAAGACACACACACAGTCACTACACTGTACAGGATATCCAGTGAAGCGCTTTGAGATATGTGCGTATAGATGGATGGAAACTTCCCTGGAAATTCCGTAATGGAATACACCCTCTCAAAGTGAGGGACTCACTTTGCTTAGCTGCTTGCGCAGAGAATTAGGCAAATGTTTTGCACCAGCCAAGGCTCGACGAATACCAGAGTGTGTTGGGGGTAACTGCTGGAGCTCAACCAGCTAAAAACACAGCTCGCCATTGAAAGCACTGTGTGGCCGACTCTTTACAGAATATAAGAACTGTTAGAAATTAAGTGTACGTCACATAAACTCTGAAGGCACTTTTATAGAGAAAGTGAATAAGCCTCGTACATTATGTGCAAAAAAAACAAAATAAGCATATATATATATATATATATATACACACACATATATACCCAAGAAATAAAGGTCCCAACGGGGGCTGATACATACACTGCTGGTATATCAACCTGGCTGAACAAGTTTATAGTGGGAACAAAATCGCCCAGTTGTTTTTTTTTTAAAAAAAAGCTGTCACATTCATCGCGCAGTTAAACAGGCAACAGCGAAACGCAAGCTCTCAATAGCCACGCGGTTCATATAAAGCAAACCAAAGCACAACCAGCCCATAAAACAGAGATTCAAGACACGTTTATGCAGCGTTGCCGTTTGCCTTATATTTTGAGTCCATACCTGTCAGCATCCTGTAGACTGATAACGAAAAGAATGTGTTTTTTTCAGTCAAGGCGTGTTAATTACTCAGCCACTTGCAAACAATGAGAGAGTTGCATTTTCTTGTTAGTTTACAAGAGGTTGGACACTTAAAGCAGCGGTGGTGGTGGGTGGTGGGGAGAAGGAGGGGGTGAAGAGCGTAATTTCAAAATAATGGATTGTTTCGATAAGTTGGGATAATACACGACTTCTAATGTTCTTCTTTATCAACCATTGATTTTCAAAAAAAATAGTAATAATAAATAATTATAATAGTAATAATTTGGTCACTTCAATCCACGACTGCTTGTGGAGACGCTGCTGTGCGCAATTGGCCGCCGCGTTTCACCCCTAAAATACACAGTTAACTCACTTTCCAGTGTATTCTGTGAAGCACTTTGAGATGCCTCGACGACGTGACACGGCACTATATCGAATGCAAGGATTATTACACACCTTTGCCCAAACACATTCCGATTTAACTGGAGCTAAACCCAATCCAATCCCATTCCCACGCTATTCCCCCTCTTCTCTCCGCCCCCCACTCTGCTAACACATCCCTTGCAAGATTCTCTTTCCTCCCCTCCCCTCCCCACCCACACCATCATGTCAAACAGCGTCGACCCCGACAGGGCAAGTTATTTTTTTTTATGAACAACACTCGCGTCACAAGGAGAACGTTCAAAATAACAGCAGTAAATTAAAACACTCGGAAGGACAACTTACTTTCCAACCCAGGATCGTGTCCAAAGATTTGGAGCTGCTGTGGGGTGACCTGATGGGGGGGCTGCTGCTGCTGCGGCTGCAGGTGTTGTTGTTGTTGTTGTTGCTGGAGGTGCTGTTGCTGTTGGAGTTGGTGATGCTGGTGATGCTGTATTTGGTGCTGTTGCTGCTGCTGTTGCTGCTGCAACTGTTGCTGCTGCAAGTGCAATCGCTGGAGATGCTGCTGCTGCAGCAGGTGGCGGTGCTGTTGCTGCAGTTGCTGTTGGGAGTATACATGTTGTTGCTGCTGCTGCTGTTGCTGCTGTTGTTGTTGTTGTTGTTGCTGCTGCTGGAACGGATGCTGGTGCAGTTGTTGCTGCTGCTGCTGCTGCTGTTGTTGCTGCTGCTGCTGCTGCTGCTGCAGCTGCATTAGATGATGCTGCTGCTGCAGCTGCAGAAGCTGTTGCTGTTGCGACTGCTGCTGTTGCTGCTGCTGCTGCTGGTGCAGGAGTTGCTGGGTCTCCGGCGTCAGCTGTTTGACCTGCGTGAACAGCAGTGTGTTGTTGGGGTGCCGGAGCTCGAGCCCCTGCTGGTTCCGGTTGCCGGGCTCCAGATTTTTGGTCGGAGCCGAAAGCGACTGAAGGATCTGGCAAAATAAAACAGCAATAAAATTCCTGTGGGCGTAGTCAGTTAGTTAGTTAGTTAGTCAGAGCACTCGCCTCGAACGCGAGAGCGCCCGGGTTCGATTCCGAGCGGGAATCGCGCCTCTGTTTACCGGCAGTAAGTAGGAACCCGGTTGTTAGTCGATCGGTGGATCACTTTTCCCAGGGTTTATTAATCCCTTCCAAAAAAATAAATAATAATAATTCAGTGACTTAACCCACGACTGCTTGTGGGGACGCTGCTGCGTGCAATTGGCTGCCGCGGTTCGCCCACAAAATACACAGTCACCACACTTTATATTTATATGAGGCGCCATATCAAATGCGAGGATTATTATTATTTATCTTCGTTCCTCACAGCTTCCTTCCAAGTCCACGTGAAAATACGAGCCCAGTTAAAGCAGAATTAAACGGTCCGTGAAAAAAAGACTGGTGGGGCCAGGGGGAAGGTGGAGGTGGGGAGAACTTCTGGGCCCAACGGAATAACACTCAACACACCGGAAATCCACCTCTACTCCACTCCCCCTCCACTCCAGTAAATACCACGGCCTGAGAAGCCAACAGACACACTGGGCCACTTAGCCCCGAGGCAAACACCAAAGCACAGAGCCATAGAATTTTACAGCCCACAAGGCCATTCGACTCATATCCTAACGAATCAGTCGTCATGTCAGCGCTGCCATCTATTCAGTCTTATCCTGAAGACGTCTCAAAGCGCTTCACAAAGGGTTTACTGTAAAGCAAAATGACTGTATATTTTGCGGCCGAAAGTCTATTTGTTCGCTGCACCATCCAACCCTCCCCTTCGGCCCCCCCACCCCCATGTAAAACATTCAAAGCCTCTGCGATAAAACGGTGGCCACGTATTGCGCTCACTGACCTGTGCTACGTTTGAAGGCCTGGAGATCTGCTGAATATCAGCGCTGTTCGTGATGTTACGCAGTGTCCTGACTGCGGGGCTCCAGGAGGTCACCATCTCCTGCCTCTCGGGGCCTGGGGTCGCCCCCACTACGCCCACCCCCTGCCCCACACCGGGGGTCAGCAAGCCGGCCCTGGCCTCTGGGGTCATCGCTGCCCCGGGGACCGGCGGCACATTGGCGCAGAGGTTGATCAGGGCCGAGTCCTTGCCGGGGGCCAGCCTGCGCTTGGCGGCCGCCGTGGGGGGCATCTCGGCCGGGGTCCAGTTCAGGTTACGCTCCTGCTTCTCAGGAGAGGAGTCCGAGGAGTCGTCGAACATGATCTCGCTGCTCCCCTTCTCGAACGCCCCGCCCCGCTTGGGGGAGAAGCCCCTCAGGCTGACGGGGGAGCCTTCCCGGGACGAAAGGGGGCTACTCCTGGCCGAGTGCTTGTCATCTTGTTCGACCTCCTCGTCCTCGTCTTCCTCCTCCGCCTCCTCCTCCTCAGGGATGATGAGCCGCGGGTGATAAGTGCATTCATCCCGCAATGATTTTCCCTCACGCTCTCCTCCACCCAATCCGGAGTCACGATTTTTATGCTGTTCCGCTTCAATGCGCACTTGTATTTCTCCTGTTGGGATGGACGGCAAAAGAGGAAATAAATATATATATATAAAACATGCAATGAGATCCTTGCGTTTTGTAATAATAATGATAATAATAATCCTGGCATTTGATACAGCGCCTTATCACGCCATCGCGACGTCTCAAAGCGCTTCACAGGACACACTGAAAAGTGAATTGACTGTATTTTGTGGGCGAAACGCGGCAGCCAATTGCGCACAGCAGCGTCCCCACAAACAGTCGTGGATTGAGTGACTGAATGATTATTATTCTTTCATTTTTATTTTTTGAAGGTATTATTATCCCCGGAAAAGCGATCTGCCAATCGACTAACAACTGGGTTTCTGCTTACTGCTGCTAAATGGAGGCGTGTGTGTTGAGCAAGGAAACTTGCCCAATGTTTCGCCCTGCCCGGGAATTGGGGATACACAGGAGTGGGATAGGAGGGTGTCGGACTGAACTGTCTGTTTCTGTGCAATCTCTCTATGTAACTAGGTCAATGAATCAAAGCAACACACTCAGCCTTTCAAACATCGATAAATGTGCGCGTAAAAAAAAAATCATATTGCGGGGGAAAGCGTCAGTGACGAGAAGGGGAAAGTGTGAGGGAGGAGAGGAGGGGAGAAGAGCAAGAAAAAGAGAGGGGGTGGGATTTCCGAGATACAGTTTTACGAGCTAGTGATGTGGGAAATGATTGGGAGTTGGCGGGGGGGGGCGGGGGGGGGAATTAGGGGGTGACTGAAACGCAGTCAATGGAGATACGTTCGTCGCAGAACAAAAAAAACAGCAGGAGGCAAATCTAACACTATTTTATGTCATCCTGTCTGCCTGCACTCAGTGGGTGGGGTGGGGGGTGGGGGGGCAGAGCCAGTAATATCGCGCTCAGCAGCCCTATTAAGCTGTAAAGCTTCACTATTACTCTCCACCAGGCAAACCTCCTTCGCCGCCCCCCCACCCCACCCACTAATACAAACCCACACACCTCCATTAACAGGTGCATCATAAACCTTAGCTGACTTCCTGCTGGAAAAGAACACACTCGTCACTTAGGCCCTAATAAAACACCTCCCAACCTCCGGGAAGCTACCCCAGTGTGAGGGGCACTATATAAATGCCAAGTTGTTGTTGTTGTAGTAATATTGACCCCAAATGTTGAAAGAGTCTCTCTCTCTCTCTCTCTCTGGAAAGCTCCTCGTCCTAACACGTTAATTTAATTCCTTCACACATTTACACCGGGACAGCACAGAAAGAAAGACCATTTGTCCCAATGACAGTCTGTGTTGGTGTTCATACTGTGCGTCGTCGATGAGCACTGGATTTCCCCCACCCTCCCCCACGTACACGGCCCACAGCAGTTCTCTGCCTCCCCCCCCACACCCCTCCCCCAGCCCGGGAGCAGTTGCAGACATTGTTATTGTCCACCAGTCTAGTCTAGTCAGACGGCTCTTTGCTCTAAGGCGAAACTGCCATTAACTAAAGCTTTTATGACCGTAAAACAGCACCGGCGGCCTTGTCTGCCACAACGGCCATTTGCTTTTAACGACAGGCCATAAAAAGAGAAGTTTTTTTTATTTTAAAATGTACAAAGAGACACCTCCCCCGCTCCCACATACTGCAGAAATATGCGGGCTGACACAGCCTCCCCTTCGAAAGGAAAGGCAAGTTCGATTGCCCGGCATCTCATTGAGCCCAGAGACGCAGGGAATCTTCCATGTGTTGCTGGCACACACATTCGAAAATCCGGTTTGAAGCTCTTAACCACGGCGGTGGCTTTCCTGGTTTCCAAGGAATTATTACCCCCCGGAAAAACGATCCACCAATCAACTAACAACCGGATTCCTACTTACTGCTAAGTAAACGGAGGCGTGTGGAGTGTCGAAAACGTGATGAGGCGCTACATCAAATGCAAGGATCATTATTATTATAATTTACATTCTCCCAACGCATAATGCGCCGACAGTAACATGCTTACCCCCTGAGGCTCCGGCACAATTAAATGGGTACACGTCTTGTTAAGATTCAGTTGGCAGTCTCCGCCATAAAAGGTGATTAAGGCCCACAGCGTATTGCGGTCTTCGGATGTAACCTGAATTGAAAGATGAACCGAGACACGAACAGAAACTAAAATGTTAAAAACAAAACAAAAAAAAAATCGCATTACTAACACAGTTTTGAAAATGCTTTCCTGTCCAAAACAGAACCATCGTTGGGATTCTCTACATTGTATGTGTGCATATATATATATAAAATAAATCTATATACATCTATATTAAATGTATATAATATTCGCTCGTTAGTAAACGGTTTGCGTTTACCCCAAAGATTTGTAAAGATTTGAGGGGAAAGTAATTGTAATACATTCAACCTGCTTGAAAGTTAAGTATAGCCACTGGCAAAACGTTTATCCGTCTTTAAGGAAAAAAGTAAATGAATGAAAGGACCTACCCGTGAGAGACAAGCTGTGACTCCAGTAAACACCTGTCCTGCCTCTGGAGAGAAACCTGTAACCCTATGTGCTCAAAATTAAGGAAATTAACTGCATGATCGCTGTCAAGGTTCTGTCTAGCGCTGCCGGCTCAAAAAAATTTAAAAAGCGACCAATGTAACATGACGATGATGGTAATCATCATTCTTACACTCAACGCAGCTCCGTTCACGTCAGGAGGACGTTTCAAAGCTAATCTGGAGCAACATCCCACAAACAACTACGTGGAGTCCTGTAGCTCAGTGGTTAGAGCACTCGACTCGCGAGCGAGAGGACTCGGGTTCGATTCCCTGGCAGAGCGAAACGTTGGGCAAGTTTCCTTACTCCCCACGCCTCTGTTTACCAGCAGCAAGTAGGAACCCGGTTGTTAGCCGATTGGCGGATCGCTTTTCCGGGAGATAATAATCCCTTCAAAATAAATAATAATAATTTGGTCACTTTAATCCACGGCTGTTTGTGGGGGACGCTGCTGTGCACAATTGGCTGCCGTGATTCGCCCACAAAATATACGGTCAATTCACTTTGTAGTGTATCCTGCAAAGCGCTTTGAGATGTTTCAAAGACGTAATAAGGCGCTGTATCAAATGCAAGGATTATTATTTATTATAACTCTCCCTGGCTGGGTGTCCCAGTCGCTTGCGTGAAGCTCCAACGTGAAAGGCGACAATATACATAACTTGGGGAGGGTGACGGGATTATTTGTGCGCATTTGGGAGGGTAATCCCCTATGGGAAGCGGCTGTGCATTTCAGGAACGTTTAACTTAAGCACGTCCAGATGGGAGTTGTACCTCCAATGCAAAAAAAACTCAACTGCCAATTATCAAGGTGCAAAATTTTCCACCAACGCTGGGAGTGGGTGGGGGGGGGGGGGGGGGGGGGGGGGGGTGAACCTGCAGGCCGAAGGCTCCTCTCAAACACGATCCATCCCTCGTGTTTGCAGTGGTTTCTGAAATTCAAATGGCCCGAATGTCGTCCGCCTGCTTTGCGTGAAAGGATACGGAAGAAGAACCCCACATCGGACAGACAAGTACACCCAGGAGGGCTGCGAAGAGAGAGCAAAAACAAAATGAGTGGTCAATTAAACTGGAAAAAAACTGTCCGTTCACTTCATGGCTGTGGGGGGGACAAGTTGCCGAGTGCGAATTGGCGGCTACATTTCTCCACAAAGTACTCAGCCTAAATACACTTAAAACGACCCTGAGCCAGGGAAACGGAGGGTGGTGACTGTAAGCACGATCAAAAAGGAAGGTCTTCAGGCAGGATTTGAAAATGGAGAGGGAGGTGGAGGGGCTGAGGGAGTTCGAGAGCTTCGGGGCATAGTGGCTGAAAGTCACGGCCCCCGATGGTGGAGTGGAGGGAACAAGGGACAAACAGGAGGCCAGAGCCGGCCGAGCGGAGGCAGTGGGTGGCGGAGTGCCGGGGGTGGGTGGGTGGGTGGGGGGGGGTTTAATAATATTGCTGTGTCGAAATTCAGACAGACAACTACTTGGTTAACTAACGCAGTACCATACAGTAGTTAACTCACCTTAACGACCGGCAAATCAAAGACCTCCCGCGCCTCTCCGACCTCTGGATTGTCCCCGTCCACAGCAATGATGTGTGTGGCCAATGCATTGTACGAGACTTCTTTTGCTTTCCCGGCCTTCAGCAGCTGAATCACCTGGATCCGAAAAACAGACGCAGGTGTGAAGCCGTCACTTGCACTTGCAATCGGCCGCCCACAAAGCACACCAGTCAAATCACTTTAAGGTATACTCTGCGAAGCGCTTCGAGACGTCTCGAATACGTGATGAGGCGCTGCGTCAAATGCGAGGATTATTGTGATGATGATTATTATTATTATTATTATTATTAAAACTACTTTGTAGATTCTGAACCCCACATTTAGCAGTGCAGGGACATGTTGAAACGACGCTAAAACCCGAAGCTTGGCGCCAACTTGTCAAACACGGAACCTACTCACGACTGCGTACTAATCGCAGCACTCAAGCGAATCGCTTTTCCGGGAGTAATAATTCTCCCTTCGAATTTTTTTTTTTTAAAAATGTGGTCACTCGATCAACGGCTTGTGTGTGGTGGGGACGCTGCTGTGCGCAATTGGCTGCACCCACCAAATACAGTCAAACCACTTTGCAGTAGATTCTGTGAAATGCTTTGAGACGCCTCAACGACGCAATAAGGCGCTTTCTCAAATGCAAGGATTATTATTATACTTTACATTGATAATAAGAACCCTTTACGTCGGGAGGACGTCTCTCAAAGAGCTTCGCACAGCTGAACGGGAGCCCGAAGCTAGTAAGGGGGGTCTTTTGAACATTAGCTCCATCATTAGTACATCATTCAAACCACAAATAACTTGCATTTCTACATTGCCCCTCTTCCACAGCGCTGCGTCTCGGAGCGGTTAAGCGGAGTGCGGTTTAACACTGAGCTGGAGAGAAAAGGGGAAGGGACCAAAGGCACGGCCAGAGAGGAAAGTCGTCCATCGCGATTTTGAAGAAGGCCAAAGAACGGGCAAATGCAGAGGGACTGAGGCAGGGAGTTCCAGAGATTCAGGGCGTGGTGTCTTGACAGCACGGCCGCCAAGGGTGGACCGGTGGGGATAAAAGACACGCAGAAGACTTGACAAAAGCAACAGGTGGTGGGGCGGGGCGTGAGCGGATTCGGAGAGGTGGAGAGCCCAGGCCAAGCAAGGCTTGAAGTCATTTGAAAGTGAGGATCGTGAAAGCTTCCCATCAATTCCGCAACACTAAGAGTCTGGCGAGAACTGGGATGACGGGGGTTGCGGAGCTCAGTTGCGAGACAAAGCCCAAGTACTTTACACGTGAATACCGATGCACTTAATTGAGTCAGCGGTCAGTTTCACCCGCCATAATCACGCGCATTTTTTCGCAACTGCCGGTCAACACTGCGCTTATCTGATTTTCGCACGTTTCGGCCGTGCGTGAAGCACTTTGACACAACGCGCGCACACTGGCACACGAAAGGGGCTTTTACTTAAATTATCATAATAGCAATCCTGGCATTCGACACGGCGCCTCATCGCGTCCTCGAGAGGTCCCAAAGCGCTTCACACAGTACACCGCAAAGTGAACGGACTGTGCGTTCTGTGGGCGAAACGCGGCGGCCGATCGCGCACAGCAGCGTCCCCCGCAAACAGCCGCGGGGTTGAGTGACCAACTTACTTTTTTTTTCGTTTCGTTCTGTACGTATCATTAACCCTGGAAAAGCGATCCGCCAATCAACTAACAACCAGGTTCCGACTCACTGCTGGTAAACTGGGGCGTGTGTGTTGCAGTAAGGAAACTTTCCCAAACGTTTCGCCCGGACCCGGGTAATCGAACCCGGGTCCTCTCGCTTGCGAGGCGAGGGCTCTAACCCCTGAGCTACAGGGACTCCACTGTCGTCACCTTCTCTCTTCCTCGCCTCAATCACCCCCCCCCCCCCCACCTCTCACCAAATGTGCATGAAACATCTCCCCCAAAATCCTCACACGAGCTGTCAAGCGCTCGCACGTGAACACACAAATGTTTGCTCGACTCAGGAGCCTCCACCA